GGGTGAAAGATACCTTTATGGGCTGGGACGAGATTTTTATCTTGGCGGTTTCTCTTTAAATTCTTTACGATTACGAAGCAGCGGGGGCTGCCAAGGAACATGATTTACTCCTTGAGCATGCACCAGCTCCTCGCTCAGTGCCAAGGGAAGCTGGAGCCAGGGAGGGAGGGGCGGGCGTCCTGCCAGGGAACCAGAGACAGGGCCTGAGCTGCTGAGGCCCAGCTAGCGGCAGGCCCATCAGAGGCTCGGCTGGACCTGGAAGGACCACAGCCGGAGGCCCCCAGCCCCGCGCTGGCTGACTCGGGCTGGGCCTCAGACGGGTTCTCGGCAAGAATAGGACCTGCTCCGTTCTCTCTGAATGCCAACTGCTAGCCAGCTGAGGGGACAGCCAACCTCCAGGACCTCCCAGCTCCCGAAGTGGCCACTTCCCAGTCCCTTCTCAGGAGTAAGGCAGTTCCCATTTCCTGGAAAACAGAGATCCAGGACTCTGGGCTCAAGTTCATGCTTTGGGTCTTCCTACCTTTTTCCTCCTGGCTCATCTGGAATACTGGTCCCCCCTGCCCTCCCCAGTTTGCTAGTTCCAAATCCCAGTGTAGCTGTCAGAAACAGGTCACCTCTACCTAGCTCCCCAGTGCCACCTCTGGTCTCCAAGCTTCTGGGCTTCCCCCCACCCTCCTTCTCCTTCCTCCTTATTCTGAATCTCCTAGCCACCACCAACTCCCGCCAGCCCCCATTAGCTGGCCAGCAAGCTCCTGGGGGTGGGGGTAAGGGCAGGTCCTCACCCCACCCCCACCATACAGTTAGGCCGGGGGGTGGGGCAATGCACCATCAAGGCTAAAGGCACCTTCACTTCAACCCATATTCACCCACTCTTGATCCCCCTTGGGTGAAGTAAATGGGCCATGACCTCTCCTAACCTCCAATGTTGTCACTTCCTAACAAGAAGGTCTGGCCACTCTGGCTCTCTGATGCCACATGTGGATGATGTAAGCGGTGGCACTATCCTGTGCCTTTAATCTCCCGAGGCTTGGAGGCTGGGCTGAGCTGGGTGGGCAGGCAGTGACCGGCACTTACCCACCCATTCGCCCTCCACCTGCCGAGTGTCCCTCTGCATAGAGCAAGCCAGTCACGCCTGGATTTAGAGAAGAGCCAAATCCCAGGGCCACCCTGGACACAGGAGCCTTTCCTCTCTTGGACCCTGGCTTTCCTTCTCCAAAAGGAGAGACCTTCCTAGGGGACTCTGAGCAGTGGAGGACTGGGGTGATGGAGGGATGCATTTAGAGGAACAGTCAAACCCCAATGCTGTCGCTTCCAAAAGCAGAGGGCACAAGAAGCCCACCCAGGGTGACCTCAGCCCTCTCCTTAGGAAATGAGGGTGGGAAGGCTAAGGCCAGCAGTAGGATCCTGGAACCCTGTCCCGAGCTCATGGGAGAGACCTGTGCCTGATTCCCTCAACCCACCCTTTGCTCTCTCAGTCCCTGGACGGGCTCAGACATCAGGCAGAGCCAGGCTCCAGCTTAATCCTGCTCCTGAGTGATGGGAAGCCTCACAGAAAACCCAGGGAGAAACCCTTGGAGAGGGTTTGGAAAGGCCTTGGAGAAAACACCACATGGTTAGCATCACGGGTACCTACCATTATTTATTTATTTTTTAAAATTTTATTTATTTATTTGCTAGTGAAAGGGAGAGCACAAGCAGAGGGGGAAGTAGTCTCCCCACAGAGCAGGAAGACTGACGTGGGACTTGATCCAAGGACCCCGAGATTGTGACCTGAGCCAAAGGCAGACACTTAACCGACTGAGCTACCCAGGCGCCCCCTGACCGTTATTTCTATTACTTTCATCCTTCCTGGCTCTTCCACTCCATTGCCCTACTCCTGCCTCAGTTTCCCCAGCTTGCCCAGCCAGCTTGCATCATCACAGGACCCCTCTCCCCCACCAAATGCGGCTTGCCCCACATGCTGGCTGAAGCTGGCCCAGGCGGCAGGCAGCAGCTTATTGTGGAGGTGGCTTCCTGGGATAAAATAAACATTCCCCAAGCTGAACAAAAGACCTGGCAGGGCACTCATACCTCCCTGCTGCTGAGGGAGGTGGTGCCCCCTGGCTTGGGTCATCTCAGGACGGTGGGGGGGGGAGCTTTTTCTCCCAGGTTTGGCCAGGAACTCTGGGGTTAAGGGAATTCCAGGCCAGGATGGGTGGAGAGGGTCCTACTGCCTAGGCTCTCTGGTCCCAAGCATGAGCTCTCAGGGAACACCTCACCTTTCCTGGAAATCCTCCCCACGTGACCCTGCACTTCTGCCTGACTTTGGCTGTGTTGCTTCTGGAAGCTGAGGGGATGGGCCATAGGAGCCCCCTCCACCCTGCCTTCCCCCTGCTCTGACCCGGGCTATAGCGAAACTCTGGGGCCCTGCTCCCTTGCACCTTTTTGGCTCTAGGCCTGGCTGGGGTGCCCAGGCGGGTGCACAGGCAGCAAGCCCAAGCCTGGACCAGTTCCTGCCTTTCTTCCTTTAGCTGCTCTGGACAGTGTGGCCCCCCGTGCCAGCACCTCCAGCTTGTAAGGTCTGGCCCAGCCAGGCCGGAACTGGCACCTCCTGACGGCAGCAGGCCCAGGGGAGGGGAGGGGAGGAGAGGGGCCTAGGCTGAGTCCTGGGGGCTTGGCATGCCAGCTGCTATATTCAGGCAAGGCACAGATGGGGAAACTGAGGCAAAGAGCAAGAGGATCACCAGTGCTTCTAAGAACAACCCTCTCTGTGCCCCTCACGTGTACCTGGGAGAAGAAGCCCCCAGCCCTTTCCCAGTCCTTGGTCTAGCTGTGAAATCCGGTTTCTATGGATATTGGTATCCACCCTCACTCCACAAATGCTTGGTGAAGACCTTCTCCTCTCTGAGCCTTACTCTGTGTACACGACGAGTCTGAGACCACCCAGCATGGGGGGGTGACTGGGCCTGGTGCAGCGTCAGTGCTGGGTTCCCAAGTGGTACCAACCCACCAGGTGTCCATTAGCTTTGCAGCCAGTCTGATGGTGAGAACCCCATCTTGGTCACCGCAGACTCCCTGGTATTCGGCATGGGGCCTGGCGCAGAGTAGGGACTCAAGCATCTGCTAAATTAAGTGACATCCAAGCACACAACTGGGCCACAGGATCAGCAGGGAACTGGAAAGTTCATTCGGAGCAGAGAAGGATGTGTGTCCGAAGGCATGGAGGCCCGGGGTGGGGTGGCCCCAGGCATCCCATGGTCCCACCCTGAGCTGCCATGGCCGTCAGCACCACAGGATAGCTGCCAGCAAGCTGGGCTTTTAGTCACTGCGGGTGTCAGCCTCAGAGCTAAATGAGAAGGGATCGACCCAACTGATGTGGGCGTCAGCAAGGCCAGGACACTGGGGTTCTATTTCTGGCCTCGCCTCTGCCTCCTGCCTGACCTTGGCCCTGCCCTTGCCTGAGCCTCGGTTTTTCTCTCTGGAAAACAGGAATGAAAGTCCTTAGCACTTTGTCTCTGAAGGTCTAAGAAGGTTTAAGAGGCACATACCGAGGACTGAGGACCGCCCTGTGTCTTATCCTGCCTGCTTCCCCTCATGGGTCTCCAGGGTAATGGCAAAAATAGCACCCAGAGTGAACGTCTGGGTTCTAGGGTCCCAGGGGTGTGGAGACAAGGCCCCATTCCCTTCCCCTGTTGGGGGAGGGGATGCTCTGCTCCCCATGCTGGCACCCTGGGCTGGGAAGGGAGTGGGAGCAGGGCCAGGCCCCTTCAAGATTTATTCATCTGCTAGGAGGAAGTCCACTGGGGAAGGGTGGAGTGATCAGCAGAATAAACTTCACCCCTTCTCAGGCCTAGGGGCGAAGGGCGCTCTTACAACCAAACCCATCACACTTCCGCCCACTCCTCAGGCCCCACACTGGACTCCTTCCAGGCACATCGTCTGAAATTCACTCCCCACTCCCCCCATCAACTCACAGGGTGGGATGAGGACAGGGGAGGAGCTCTGCTGGGGACAAGGGGACATGGGAACATGGTGAGGTGGAGGCTGGACCTCAGCCAAACCCGAGGAAGGAAAAGTCAGCCCAGCCTTTCACCCCAATTTGTGTGCCCGGAAATCTGGCCAGCTAGGGCTGAGTCGGCCCCGCCCAGGGCAGGCGGCTGGACAAAGTGATCTTGGGCCAGAGGAGAACTCCGCAGTGACCCCAGGCCCCCCAGGTCCCAGCATCCCCTTTCCGCAGGAGGGGCGGGGGGAGAATCTTCCGATCATACACACCTTTGAAGAAGAGCTAGTGACTGAGCCATCTGGACACCTGAGTGTGTGCCATGTGTATTCGCCCACCAGTGGCGATCGAGCCGGGGGACCTGTCTCTCACTCTCCAGAACCCAACTGCTCATTAGAGCCTTCCCGTGACTCCCAAAGCAAAGTGCTCGTTGGGGAGCTCAGACCCGTCACATAGCATGTGCTGTCCCTGGACTCGCCAAATGGCCCGCGCTCCCCTCGCAGCCCAGGGCACCCTCCCAGCTTCCTGGGACCCCCTCCCACCTGGAGACGCACCCCTTAGCAGAGCAGGGTCTGCTGCTCCAGCTTTCTGCGGCTTTGGTTTCTGCCTGACCACCTGACCCTCCACCTCAGGAACCACCCAGGGCAGGACCAGACACAGAGCAGCAGCGAGGACGGGCTTCCCCAAATACGATTCGGGAAGAAGAGGCATCTCTCCCCAGTTATCTCTCACACTGAGGGAGGTGCTTTACGGACCCAAGGCCACCCAGCCTGACACCCCAGAGTCTGCCTTGAGAAGGGGCCCAGGCTCAGGAGACTTTGTGGAAACGTCCACATGGCCCATTCTCTAGCCTTTCCTGCCAAGCTACCGCCATCCCTCTCCTCCCCACCCACATACCCAGGGCAACCCATGTGGCTGCATGAAGTATCTCTTTCTGCCCTGCCTCTTCCGGTGGCCTCTGCAGCGGGCTGAATCCTGTGGACAGAAGATGATGCTGGGAACCAGCGAGGCAGTCTCTTACCTTTGAATGAGAGCCGGACGCGGGGCGTGGCCGGGAGGTGGTCCTGGGTGGGGGTGGCTGGCCAGGCCCCAGTCAGTAGGGAAGCCCAGAGGAGGAGACAAGCGACAGGCATTGTGGGAGGGGCCTAGGGCCCAAGAAGCTGGCTGGGCTGTCTGGACACCTGGGAAGGAGGAATCAATATTTGAATATGAAAGGCAGATGGGGGAGTCTGGACCTACCAACTCTCCTTTCCCACACCCTTGGCCTGGGGCCATGAATGCCCCAGTGTGCAAACCTTATACACTTTCTGGTCCCTGCCTTTATCTGGGAATGTGTGGCCAATAGGCCCAAAGACGGAGCAACCAGGTGCAGCCTGGGGTCACCAGAGCTAATAGGGGCCAGTGGATATTCAAACACTACCCTGCCCTCCAGCACCCCGAATTCCATTTGCAGGGTCCTGCTCAAACAGGCCAGCTTACAGCTTCTTCCAGTTCCCAGCAGGCTCTCTCTGTTGTGTCCACCCCCAACCAAATGGGCTGCTCCTTCCCTCGCCCACCTCCAGAAATGGGGGAAGAGATGGTTGCCGTCCTGCCTGCTCCCGCCAAACCTCTCCACCCAATCTAAGGAAATTGGGACCTGATTATTGGGGCAGGGGGCATGGGAGACAGTGGAGGATAAGTGAGACACACATAGACAGTCTAAAATGGAAGAGATGGCAGCCAGAAAAGGAGAGGCAAAGAATAGCAGGGTCTACTTTTACTGAAATCACAGCAGGAGGGATCCAGGTCAGATGTACGGAAGGACTTCCTGCCAGGTAAAGTTCTAGCTCTGCCTCTAGAGGGCAAAGAGAGGGGAGCGAGGAAAGCCAGCAGGCCTGGGGCAGCGTCTGAGCCAACCTCAGTGTCCCCAGCAGAACCCCCAGCAGGTCCAAGTTTCGATATGATGTTTTTCAAATATTGTCTCCCCAGGCAGGCTGGCTGTTGGGTAAACGCAGCCCAGCACCAGTTGTCGGAACATATTGCTCCCTCCCGGCAAAAAACAGCGCCAATTCCCAACCCCCCCACCCGGATACATTGGGGGTGGGGGCACAGAGAACGACAAAGTGAGCCCCCTCCTCCAGATCTGCCTTGTCTACTTTCGTTTCCTAGGGCAGGATCCTAGGCCCATTTCTAGGACCCTGGAGTGGGGGTGAGAGGCAACAGGGGCTGCTAATCCTCAGCACTGGCGGACAGAGGCTGAGGCAAGGCCGGGCTCCACATCTGTCAGGCCCCACTCAGCAGACACTGAGGCCCTCCCTGGACCCAGGTCCCCTCCCCCCAGCCCTAGCCTCTCCTGCCAGGGCAAACCACACTGGTGGCTCTTCAGACAGGAAGTGAGGCTTCAGGTCTCCTGGCCCATTCCCCAGGTGGTGCCCTCTGTGGGAACACCCTCTCACCATTCCTTAAAGATCCCCCATCACAGATGCTCCCTCCTGGGGAGGCTAGCGGAAGGAGAGAACCAGAGCCAGCCTCTCCCCCAGGCTGCTGGGGCACCAAGCTGGTGCTGGGTGAATCGCAGGCTCCGGTGAGAGGAGCAGGTAGGAGAGAGGGCTTTGAGGCCACCATCACCCTCGAGTATACCTGTGAGGCCTCACACACAGTTGTGGATATACACACGTCCACACTTGCATGCCCACACACGTCCTCCCAAGCATGTGTTTGCTCAAGAACTTGACCTGCTAGTGGGGTGGGGCTCAAGGAAGCTGGGGAACACTGCCCTGGCTTGGGTGGGAGGCAAGCTGCAGTCTGGGTCCCTCAGAGACCTTTGATCCTATGTATCAGGGGGCTCAGGATGACTCAAACCCCCCTTGACCTCATTTCCCCTGCATCCATTTTCATGGTAACAAGGTCAGGGTCACCAAGGACAGCTTTAGAGTTCTCCAAGGTAGCCAGGAAGGTGGAAGGCTTTGCCTCACTGGGCCCCTACAGGGACCTCCCAAGATGCTCTGGCCCTTTAAAGGACTGAATGGGGGATGTTCAAGTCTACTGGGGCCAAGTCCAGGACCCCTCTTTGGAAAGCATGGGGGAATGGAAAAGAGAAGAGAGAGAGGGGAGAAGAGAAATAGAGGGACAGAGAGAAGGAAGGGGAGGACATTTCCACAGTCGCTTCCATTCTGCCAGCTCCTAGATGCATTCCACTTAGCCCCAGCCCCAGAGAAGCCCCCAGTAAGGCGAGCCAGGTGGGTGGACAGAGAAGGAACAGCCACCGCCACCTGGGAGCCCACCAGGAGGAGAGCAGAGAAAGAAGGAAAGAAGCCTGGCGGGAGGGAGCAAGGGAGGGAGGCAGGCGGGAGGGAGGAGGAGAGAGGGAGGAGAGAGGGAGGGACGGAGGAGAGACGTTCGAACAAAGAACCGAGGAGCTGGGGCTGGCAAGGGGTGCAGAGAAGGGGCGGCCAGACAAGGGGGTCTAGAGGCACCTGGGGGTAGGGCAGGGGGCTAGGGAGTCGAATTGTCCGGCCTGATCCAGACCTCCCAGGCTTGTGGGGAGGGGGTTGGGGGAGTGAACAGCCTGCCTCAGAGAAGGGAGGTTAGCTCCTCTGAGCTAAGAACTGCCTGGATGGAAGGGAGGCAGGAGCAGGGGCTGCGGGGGAACATGGAGATGAAATTATTAACAGCACCCCGGCCCTACGGTACGCACCCCTACCCCCACAGGCCAGAGATCCTTTCTGGCTCCTTGGCTTTCCCCCTCCCCCAGCACCCCATGGACTGGGAAGCAGAGCCACCCCCCCATAGCTGGGATTGAAACCCCCCCTTTCATGATCAAGGGTTTCCCAGTCAAGGTCACCTGGGCTCAGCTTCATCCTCCCCATCAAGGTATGTCTACCAGAGCATGGGGGCCACTGAGGCTAGGCTGCTGGCCTTCTCTCCTCACACCCCCGCACTTCTGGGCCTGGCTACTTCAGAACTGGGGGTCAGCAGCAGGGGTAAGCTTACCCAGTGCCCTAGCCTTGCAGCACACCTTACCCCATAAGTCCAGGCACACTTCCCACACAGCCTCAGAAAAGACCCCAGCTCCATCCAATCCCCTGGACAGGGATAAACCTCCCAACCCCCGGACCCCTATCTCTGCAACTAGGACAGAGGCTTCTGGGAGACAAACTGGGTGAATTCAGGAGGACAGGAACCCCCAACCTGGCCCAGCTCCAGGGTGGACACACCAGTGCCTTCAGGTGGCCCCCCTCCCCGGGGGGTTCATGGAATGGTGTTCTCCACACAGTTACCTCAACAATTATAAGTTACTGAAGCAGCCAGGGCCTCAGCCTTAGCTCCAGCTGACCCATCCTGCCAGGCCTGCCTCATTCCCGGGCCACCCTGACACTCTCTGGTCCCACCTGTTCTAGGTGAGCCCACCAAGCTCCTAGAGTCCCCTGCCCATTTCACCACTGGGGCTCCAGCCTGCCCAAATGGGGGACTTAACTGCAGGCTCTGGCAGCTCACCTACACCCCACATACAGCCAGGCCCCTAAGCCGAGCAAGACTCCCTGTTAGAAACGCAAACCCAGCTAGCAGCTGGGGGTCAAGGGGTTAGCACAGAGTTGGGAGAAAAGCCTCAGGGCTGGAGGCCCTCCTGCCTTGCTGATCTGGGGGACCCTCCACGTGGGGGCTGCGGGTATAGCGCTTCTCTTAGAGCAGACGATTCTGGGACACTGAGGCAGGGCAGACGCACTTAAGGGGAAGAGCTCTGCCCGAGGCATTAGTGGGAGAGAGCTGAGCCAGGAGAAGGGGCGTCCGGACTCCCGCTCCAGGAACGTGGGGGTGGGGGTGCGTGCAAGCACCCACCCACCCAGAATCTGACGAGAAAAAGTTGCTCTGCACACTGGTGACCCCGCAGGACATCTCATCCACACATCCCCACGTCGCACCGATAAGGTTCCGGGCAGCCTGGACAGGTACAGCGCCCAGTCAAGTCCTACAGCCCCTGCGTCCCCGGAAAGCCCCCTGCCTCTCCGAGCCCCGCGCCCCGGACACTTCTGCAGAGTTGCAGTGCCGCGGGTCCCAGAGGGATCGCGGGGTGGCCGGGCCGCCTGACTGCTCCCTCCCGGTTCCCGCCGCACTCACCTCCTCCGCGGCGGCGGGGCCTGGGCTCCCGGGCGGCGGGGGCGGCGGCGACGGCGGCGGCAGAGCGGCTCCCGGTTGGGCCGGCCGGCGCTAGCGGCCCCCCGGGGCCATGGCCCTGCCCGCGCCCTCTCGCCGCTGTGCCTGAGCCGGGGTCGACGCCGCGGCCCGGGTTTAACGGGGTCCGCGGGCTTCGGGCGCGTCAGCAGCCGAGGCCCCGGGCCCTAGCCCGGGCCATGGGAAGGCTCAGGGGCGCTCGGGGCCGCCTCCCCCCGGGTGGGCTGCGGGCGCCCCCTGGCCGGCGCGCCGAGGGCGCATTCCCCGGCGCGGGGCGCGGGCGACGGCGCGCGCTCGGCTTCGGGGCGCTGCGCTTGGCTCGGCCCGGTGGTGCTCGTCTGCTTGTTGGACTGGGGCCAGGCGGCCGCGCTGGACTGAGGCCGGGCGGCCGCGCTGGGCTGCGCCGCTCCTCACCGCGCGCGCTGGCCCTGCGCTGCGCTCGGGGATCGCCGGACCGCGGCCGTTCGCTCGCTCGCTCGCTCTGGTCTCGCGGCCGCCGGCGGGACGGGGCGCTCGGAGCCGTGCGGGGAGCGCCGGCAATTGGCCGCCCGTGGGCGACATTTGCATAGCGCGGCCCCGCCCCGGCCGCCCCGCCCGGCCCCACCCCCGGGGCGGGACCCGCCCGGCCGCCGCCCCGCCCCCGCTCCACCTGTCCGCGGGCTGGGCTCTGGGCTCTCGGGGCGGTGGGGCGACCCGAGCCGGGGGAGACTAATCTGCACCCCGCGCCCCCGCCCCGGCTTCGCGGGCGGCGCCCCCGCCCCGCCCTGGCTTTGTCTCTCAGTGGATACACCGCGCACACCGCGCCTGGTGTTTACCCCGGCACTCAACTCCCTGGCGGGAAGGGCGGGCGCGCCGGGGAGCAACGAGCCTGCGCTCACCTGCGCACCCCCTGCCGTGTCACTCCTTCCCACTTGCTGCGGGCCGCGCCGGGCCCCGCGCGTGAGTCCCGCAGCGTAGGACCCAGGACTGCCCCAGCCGCTCAGCAGGTGGCGGTGCAGCCTCTGGGACGGCTGGCACCGCTGGACCTGCTCGCTGCCTCCAACCCAGGCCAGGTCGCAGCAGCCCAGCCTGACTGCTCTGTCCAATCACTCCAGGGCTACCCGTGATTCCCCAGCCTCCAGTCCTATTTTAAACCGGCAGCCCCACGGATCCACTCCTTATAGTTCCATATCCCCAGAGAGGCCAGATAGGCTGGGCCTCCTCTCCTAAAAGGGACATTTGCTTTCAAATGGCCTCACGATGACCCCAGAGCCCAGCAACTGAGGCAAACACCTCCCCTGATCCCAGAAGGGACCTGACACCCCAAGGCCATGGCCTCACCAACCAGGATCACAGTCTCAGCCCTGCCCCAGGCCCTTTGCTGAGGTCCCAAGGGACATGGGCCTTCTTTGTCCTCTCCTTCCACCTCTCTCTCCTCCCTTGTCTATTCCCTCCCCTTCCTCCTCTCTCCTATCTTTTTTCTCCCTTTCTCCCCTCTCCTGTCCTCTCCCTTCTCCTCCCTCCTTTCCCTTCTTTCCTCTTTCTCTGCCTTCCCCTCCACTTCACCCTCTTTCCCCTCCCCCTATTTTTCCTTCTCTTCTTTCTCTCCTTCTCCTCCTTCTTTCCCCTCCCCCTTCTCTCCCTGGTTAACAAGTCCCCTGGAGAAGCCATCCCTCCGTCTGACCCACTGACAGGTTGACTGTGGAAGGTTAAGAACCCAGATGAGGGTCTCCTGCCCTGGATTTTGAGTGCTGGCCCACAGGCTCCAAGCAGAGACCGCCTGAAGCAAGGAAACCAGCCTGGACTTATGGTGGCTCCAGGGACCATGCCTGCACCCCTCTGCTCTATTAGGTCTCATTTAAAACACCGTGATAATCGTCCCTCCTCATCCCTCCTCCTCTAGGTACCAGGGTCACCGCTGAGGCCAGTACCACTGCGCAGCCATCACCAATGCAGCCTACGCCGCCATCACCATGGTTTCCAACACCATCCCTCCCCCACCTCCCCTTCACCCCCAGTCTCCCTGGTCTTATAGCCTGGCCACCCCTGTCACCACCCCCAGCGTGATCACCATCATGGTCACTGAAGCAGAACTATTAGGACTTACCAAAGACTCCAGGGTGCTGGCTTGGGAAGAAAAGAGATGCAATGGATGCGTCCATGGAGCTCTGCTCAGACGCAGAGAACGGACCTGGTGCTAGTGCATGGAGGCCTTCTGAAGACGGGGAGGCAGGGAGAGGGGAGAGACCTTCAGCAAGCCCACCTCACACAATGGAATGCCAGTTCTCTCCTAAACAACATGAGCAGACTGAGTAATAGAAATAAAAGCAGAGTTATTGCAACAGAGAACTCACAGTGCACCCCTGCCCACCGTCCGCTGTCCATGCTGGGCTGGCCATTTTGTGTCACTATTCATGTTATTATGCATATAAAATATGCATTCTTGGGAGAAATATAGTCGACCCTCCCACAATCTGTCTTCAGTGTAGGGGTCTAAGGGCGTGTCGAAGCCAGCCCTGGAGGCCAGGCTAGGAGGCCCTGTCTGCCACCAGAGTTTGTGGTTATGGGTTCCCAGGCACTTGATGGTTCCTCCGAGAAGCAGGCCCTGCTGTCCCCACTGTGCAGATGAGGAAGGGGCGACTGAGGGAAGTGGGGTGAGGCTTGCAGGCACTGGACTGTGGTGTTAGGAAAAGGTGGCCTTTTCATGAGTTGTGGGAAGGCTCCGGAGGGAAGGGCCAGGCCAGGGGGCCCACGTGGAGCCAAGGGCCTACAACCCAGACAGGCACTCAGGGCTGGCCGTGAGTGCTGGAGCCTGGTGCAGCACTTACAGAGTTCAATAAATCTTTATTGAATGAATAAGAAAGCAAATCCCCGTGGCACCAGATCCAACAGGGAACACAAGCCAAGAACCAATAGGCCAGGAGCCAACTCTAGTCCCACCACCTGGCTTCTCTGGATGGGCTGCCTCCACCGGCCCCTTTCCCCGCCACCCAGAGTCCTTGTGTCTTCCTCTCCAAAAGCCACTCAGCTGTTAGCTCCACCTGAGAGCCATGGGATGCCCTGAGGGGTCACCTGAAGTGAGACAGCCAGGCCAGGCTGGCCCCCTGGCCCTGCTGGGCCTCCCTCCCTCTACTGCAGGACACTTAGATCCTGGGCCTGCTTCTTTTCCAGCTCTCCCATGGCCCATCCTGGTTCCAATCTGGATACACACATGAGGGTGGACACAAAGAAGGTTAGGCCAGATCTGGTTTCTCCTCTGACCCAGCTTCTAGGTTCCCCTTCCCAGAGTAGTTCCCTCTCCCTTTCAAGATGGACTCTGAGTACCTATAAGATAAGCCCTGGGGTGACAACCTGAGGGTAGAGTCTTGGGCTCATGACTCAGCTTCCCAGAGTTTCTGAGATGCTACAAAGCCCAACAACAAGGGTTACAACCAGGAAGGAATTAGCCCCCTTTGTCCCGGGCCTCACCCCCAGGTGATGGTGCTGAATTCGGGCCAGGCCCCCCAAGATCACCTTGGAGCTCTTCTCCAAAACACTCCCAGCCTTTCAGTCTGGCCCAGCCTTTGTCTCTGCCCGCACACATGCCTGTTTCTTTTCCTTCTGGTTTTTCCAGGCTGCACTGTGGGGGACTGAGGTACAGCCCTGGGCTCCTGCGGTCTGTCCATCCTCTGTCTGTCTATTCTATCCGCCTCTGTCCAGCCTCCCTGGAGTGGGGCGAGAGAAGACTGCTACGCTGAGTAACCTCAAGAGAGGCTCTGCCCTTCCATCCTCAGCATCCAGAAGGCAAGACTTGGAGGCCTGGGCCTCAGAAACCTGCCATGCCCCCAGGATGAAGGTGGTAACTAAACCAACCCCCCCTTCCTCTGGCCCAAGTCTCCAGGGGGAACCTGTTTCCCGGGCCTAGCAGGCTCAGCAAGCCCTGGCCCGCCCGCCCCAGCGTTGCTGGCTCAGGTTTCCCCACTTTCTGGTTTTCTCATCTCCCCTGCCCCAGGCGCAGCCCTCACCCGCCTCCCGGAACTGGATCCCAGAGAATGGGGGGAGCGTTACAAAGGGGGCCCTGGGAGGGGGTGTAGGGCGTTGCTCTGGCAGCACCGGGAGTGGGGCAATGAGAAGTCCCCACAGTCCAGGCTCAGAATGGGGTTCAGCTCAGCCTCCTCCTGCCCTGCCAGCCCCAGGAGCTGGCTCAGAGCCCATCAAAAGCTGGAACAAGCCACCTCCCTCGCTGCTTCCCAAAGCCTCTTCCAGGCCTTTTCTGCTGCTGTCCCCTCAACCAGGAATGTTCTTCCCAGACTTTGGCCCCAGTGTCAGCCGAGTTTCCTCTAGCTCCAAGCCCTTGGCTTCCCCCTTTACCCTCAAACACCATCCCCTTCTGCACAAGGGCCAAGCCTCCCTTCTGGAGGCCACCTCCTCCCCCTTTCCTCTCAGGCAGGAGCTCCGCACTGTCTCATCTCCTGGTCTTTGCACATGCTGCTCCCCTGTACCTGGAATTCCTTTCCCATTTCCTTCTAGATCCTTCAGGCCTCTGGGAAGATACTACCTCCCAGGAAGCCAATGCTAATGGCTGAGTCAGGAGTTTCCTTGGGCTGCTACAGGTCCTGCCCTCCCAGTCAGCCCCCACAAGATGCTGCCTGGGACCCAGGGTCTCCCTGAGTTCAGAGTGAACAAGGGGGGGGGGGACACAGCCTCTGAGACCCACACATGTTACCGCATACCCCTCATCCAGTGTGTGTGTGTGTGTGTGTGTGTGTGTGTGTGTGTGGTGAGGGAGGTGGGGGTTGGGTGGTCCCAGGCTCGGCTGGCTGCCAAGTGACCCATGACCGTCGGCCAGCCTAAGCATATCCTGTTTAGACAGAAGCCAGACAGCCATCCCTCACCCACTTGGGCCTGCCCAGCTCCTGCTGGAGAGCCCAAGTCTTAGGCCTAGAGCTCAGTCCTTATCTGGCTCCAGAGAGGCCTCCTCATGAAGAATCGGGATAGGAATTCTGTGTTTCCTATGCCCTCATAGCAGAGGCCTTTACTCCGGGCGCTGAACCTTGGCGCAGTAATAT